TCACTACATCCAAATTCTCATCATCATGGAATTCAATTATATCTTGAATATTGCCATTAAGTCTACTAATAGACCTTTTTATTTTTGTTGTTCATTTTCTTTAATATTAATGTGATGCATAAGCATTTCGAGGTTATGGGGCATACTCCTGCACACTTCGTCTACCATGATTAAGCCGTTGGAGCTTAACCAAGAGTTTCCTAAAGTAGTGAGGAAGTACAAAATGCTAAATTATAATGTCCTTAAAAAGTTCTATACAAGGACACAATCCAAGAGACATACTCTTTAAGAGGCAAAAAAATCAAGTGAAAACTACTAGATAATGATATAAAAGGAACCTAGTAAAGCAAGAAAAAATGGCACAAAAAAATGGCAGCAAACTAAAGTACTTAAAGAGAAAAAATAGCAAGGAACATGAGGAAATCAAAACAAAGGCACCTACGAAAATACTGCAGCAAAATAATACACATAAACAAGAGGCAATTACAAAAACAATTATGGGCATACATGAAGAGAAAGATCCTAAAATGATGATGATAAAGGCTTAAATTAAGATTTCAAACACACACACAAACTGGATGAGTGTCTCACCATAATAAAAATAGTAAGCACAAAACAAATTGATGCATTGGTGATTTTTTGCAAACTGTTGCAGTTATATGTTTTAAACAAATTGATGTATGTTTGAACAACACTACTTTTATGTTTCTTTAAGACCTCTACTAGTGCAGAACATACAAGCAAAGCATACACACTTAAATCCTAATTTGATTCATCTCAATTCAGCATATAAGAGCAATGATGCAAAAGACTCTAACAAGTGCAATTCAAGAAAAAATTTCTTGAAAACTCCTAAAGAGGAACCACAAATGACTGAAATCAAAGGTTAAACATGGAATAAAGATTTAATAAAGACCAACCAAGATAAGAAATAATACCTGGAAAAGAAGACAAAAGAGAATTTAGAAGCCTACTTCAAAAGGTACTTATTGCTTGTGTTGGAAGGTTTTGTTTGTAGCATCTGGAGAAAAACTTTTTAGACCACTTATAGACACTTAATTAGAGTCTTTAGATCACTCTTACCTTGATGAAGTATAACATCCAGAAGAAAGAGTCCAATCAATAAACATATAAACAGTAAAGAATTAGTATCAAACAGAATATGAATGACAAAAGCAACAAGCAAATTGCGGAGTATTGAATGAATTAATAACAAATGAACACAATAAAGGATAAAATTAAGGTGGAATAAGCACTAAAAGTTGTTCCTAACATGTAAACAAAGCCATAGAAAATTTTTCACTCAAAACAGACTTCAAAAACGCAATTTAGAAGCAAAACAAACTCGACAAAGCATTAGTGTCCGCGCTGAGCGAGGACTTTATGCGATGAACGCTGACAGAAAGAAGAACAATGCTTTAGCATGCATTCCTAAAAATCACCAAACCTAAGGCTCTAGATATAAATAAAACTAAGAACTAAACAAGAATAATTAAGAAATGGAATTAAAAGACTAAAATTGAAAGAGAGAAAGGAGAGGAAACTTATGATTTGAAGACATTCCACTTGGAACGATCCAAGATAAATGCCAAGGGGGATCCCTATTTGTTCTTCATAAGATAAGACCCAAATTTAAACTAAGAGACAAATTTCTATCTCAAAGAAGTAATCAATTGAATGCAGAACAATCTCTATATTCAAATTTGAAGGTGTACTTACAAAGGAGACCTTAGGTTGCATATATAGCACTAGGAGATGAAGTAGGTGAGAAAACTAAGGGATGTTGGACTTGAAGGCCTACAAGTTTGGACAATAGCTTTCAAGGTTGTTTTAGGTTCCACATCTCTTAATTCTACATAGTTTTAAGGGTATATAAACTACCTAACTATAGTATAAAGATCAAAACTAAAACTATACATGAAATAACTACTACAAACAACTAAAAGGAGAAGAGACTTATTTATTCTTCTTTCTTTTAAGTGGAGTCCCACACTGCTTGCACTTTAAAGAAACTATAAGAAAGAAACTATAGTGTCTAATAGGTATAGAAACAATTATCCAATATTACATTTTTTTTTCACCGCGCCACTTTTATACCAGTTATATGTCTAACTAGTATAGAAAAATGAATTTATGTAATTGTTTTGAGTGCAACTGGTATAGAAATCTTTGCAATTTATTACAATTTTGCCACTACACCACTTTCTATAGTTGTTATAAGTGTAACCAGTATATAAAAGTTTTTCATATTTACAATACTATCATCGCACCACTTTCTATACCTAGTGGATTTTAATAGGTATAAAAAGTATATTTTGCACTTGTGACAAGAAGTCATCTATTCTGTTACAACACAAATGAATTACATGCAACAACAATTGACAACAACTCATAGGGCCCAAATTGCCCTGCATTAGATTTCATATGACTTCTTTGATAAGCTTCACAACAATAAGCCTATATCATCATCTTTTCTTGAGAGAGGAGTGTAGTGGTGGTGCAGCAAGACAACAAAACTTTACACATACAAACGTGTTTGTGATGATTGTTTGATATTGTCATTAGTACAAAAATTGCGTATAACGTCACGCATTCAATGTCCCATAGTAGAACAACCAACGTTAACAATGACCGATGACATTGTTGTAAATAAATTCATTTCGCACCATGTCGATTGAATTTCGTAAGCGTCGTCTTTAAGGAAATAATGTCCAATCGTACACAAAGCCGATGTAAAACTATGACCTTAGTAATCACATAACGTCAGCTAAGGAAACAACATACGTCAAATACAAAATAAATAACTACTAAATAGTGATTTACTAAATATGACGTCAATCGTAACAAACATTGGACGTTGTATATTACAGCCAACAATTATGTTTTTATTTTTCTTTTAAATCAACCCATAAAACATCGAATTGGTAAGGACTTCGACGTTTTATTGTCAACTTGAAGCCAAAGCCTCAGTCCTTTTTTATTATTTTTTTCTTTTTTCTTTTAACTTACCACAGAACGTCGAACTCTTTTATCAATTCGACTTTTTATTTGCCAGAAATTATGGATTTTATTTTTTCTTTTAAACCAACCCATAAAACGTCCTTATACTAAAGGCCTCAACGTTTTATTATGCTATTGAAGTCGAAGGGTCACCGCATAACACGTCGAACTCTGTGGGGATTGGACGTGATTGGCTCCCAACAATTATTCGTTTTTTCTATAAATACAGTTTCAGAGCCCTGGATAACCTCTACACCTCCATTTATAAAATTTCTCGTAATATTCCTTCATGGTTTCTTTATGTTAACTTTTTTTCTTTGATTTTGTATTAGCTCCTTCAAGGTTTGATTCTTTGTTATGTTGAAAAAGTTGAAGGAATGATACAAACTCAACGAAAACAGTTGATACATTTCAAAACGTTGCAACTTCCATTCATAAAATTTCTCGTAACAATCTGTTAACTTTTTTCTTTGTTTTTCTATCAACTCTTTCAATTTCACAAAAGCGAATTTCCTTGTGGTTTGATTCTTTGTGCATGGTGAAAAGCTTGAAGGAGTGATAGAAATCCAAAGAAAAAGGTTGAGAGATTTGGATTTCGTACCCTTTTAAAACGCTACAACCTCTATTCACCAAAATCCTTCTACATTTTAACTATCTCGTGGATCTTTTCGTGGTTAGATTTTCATTTTTTTTCCTATGTTTAGTGCTATTATGCTTTTCTTTTGTTTTTGTTTTCATTTATGAATATACGTTCTGTAAAAATGGATTTCTTTTAGAAATCCTTCTAAGAGTTTTACGTCGAACCCTTGTAGAACTTGACATCCCACTATATATTAACGACGAAACGCTTCCTAATTCGAAGTTTTATTATGCAAAGTCACTATGTTACACGTCGTATTCTTCTGGGGCTTCGACGTTTTACTGACTAGTCAGAAGCCAAAGGGTCAATCTCTTTTTATTATTTTTCCTTTTTTTCTTTTAAACCAACCACAAAACGTCGAACTCTTTTCCGTTTTATACATGTATTATTGTTTGTTTGGATTTTACTATCTAGTAGTGACATTATGTTTGTCTAGTAAATAGAGAATACAATCCACTCCACTGAAAACTGACTTGTCATTTATCAACGATCTTTACCCATAGTTACATCTGTCGATATTGTCTTGTACCTGATCAGTCATGTTATTACTGACAAATATTATCCATCGAGAATTATAGATAAATATATCTACGATAATTACTGAGAAACTACCGTCAGTAATTCTGACCTATAACACTTTTACTAATGAATTTTTGTCTGTCCAAAATCTAACGAAAAATAATAATTAGTAATGAACACTAATTATTGGTAAATCTATTTTTTTTTTCTTTGTAGTGGTCAGGCATTCTATTTTGTTTTACTATTTCTTTTTAACTAAGACCATTTCTATGGGACAAGGCTATTGTCTAAAATGAATATGCTTTATCTTGGTTTTGACCTTTATACGAATAATTTTTTTTTCGTTAATTGATTAGGAATAAAAAACAAATTATGCATCACCCTAATCCCCTACTAGTTAAATAATAACATTAACAAACACGTTGGAGCATTATTATTTAATGGTTACAATATTTTTAACATGCAATAAATGTGTCCAACACTTCCAATACCTAAATCAAAGAATAAAAATAATTTGACAAGAATTTTTTTTGTCATTAGCTTCGAATAACTTCACCAAACCAGAATTAATCAACAGTTCATGGTGAACACATTTTCTTTAGCGACGAAATCCTTACCTAGTTAGTTAGAAAAAAAGTAAAAAAAAAAAGAAAAAAAAACTCAAACTATATTATTTAGAAAATGAAAAGACTTGTTCGGTGTGTGTATGTTTTTGAGAGTTTTAGTAGAAAACAAAAGAAACCATTGATCATGAAATAAGCACATTCTCCAGCAGTCAAACGAAGGAGGGGCCATACTTTCCAAGGTCCATGGAAGACTTAGCCGACGAAGGAACAGAAGCTTAACGAGACGAAAAATCATAAGCATAATGTTCCTCTCGTTTCTCTTTAGTTCCTTCATCAAAGTTTCGGGCATAACTTCGATCATCATAGCGGAACGATCCTTGCTTTCTATACCCAATGGCGCGATTTTTATTATTCAACCGACGAACCAAGTTTTTCCATTTGGAACTTGCCACATGTTTTGACCATTCCCTTATCTTCCTCCACCATTGCACCTTCTCTCTCACTATCTTCCTCTGCGACGACGTCGTTCTGGAGCTTTCTCCGAAGCAGGAAAAGTTGAAGCAACAACCTTTCTCGAAGAACGCATTATCTTGCATGTTGTCATCGACGAATCTTATCCTGTTCGACGATGGTGTCATCTTCGCCGGAGAAAGGAGAGAGGTAATCGGAAATGTTTGTGATATCAAAACTCTCTCTCCCTTTCTGTCTTGGGTTTTGCATTCTGCGAGATAATGAACCAATGAAGAACCTGTTTTAGCAAAATAACACCGCAGAACAGATCGGTTGCCAGATTAATAATTAGTTACCAACTTCCCTTCGAAAGTCCCTAGCTATGACAGTTGGCTCCACATAATAGTTTTTCCCAAAACCAACTTGCATAGAATTAGAATCTTCTAATCTAAATTAATCGTAACATTTCATTGTATATGCTTCTTACATTTTCATTCTATTTTATTAGAATATTCTATCTTTCTAGATTCCTCAATTTTGTATGACCATAAATAAATTACCTTGTTAATTAATAATATATTTGATCCGACCTTAACTTAGTACCTTGTTAATTAATAGAATATTTGATCCCACCTTAAATTAGTATCTTATTAATTAATAATATTTTTATCCAATGTTAAGTTAGTTGATAGAGTCAAATTTTAAATATGAAGTATTATCCATTTTAAAACTCTTGCTACTATTATTAAGACAACACTTAAGAAAAATATATTTAAATTGTGATTAATCATAGTTACTAAATAATATGAAATTATTAAATATATCAAAATAATAGACAATAATGAAATAAATAATAGACAAAATGATGATGTATTTACGAATTAAGTATGGTCTAGACCGAATAAGATCGAAGATCAGAGAGGTCAAATATGACTTAAGTTGGAGAATCTAAACAAAATCGAGAGTTGGAGAGATCAAACAAGGTCGAATATCGTTAAGGTCGAACAAGGCAAAAGCTAGAGAAAGCAAACAAAACCGTGAGTTAGAGAGACCAACTAACGCTGAGTACTGGAGAAGTCGAATACGGATGAAATTGAGATAAACCAAACAAGACCAAGGACCAACGAGGCCGAACATAAAATGGACTATTTTTTTTTTTATTTCAAACTAATCAAAGTAAATTTTCAATTAATTTGTTCATGATCTTACAATTAATTAAAATAGATTCTCAAATAAAGGCAAGACCTTTATACATTATTCATAATAAATTCAATCAAAGTACATTCAATATTAAATCCTATTATGTTTAATTATATCTATTCTTTTATCTCGTAACCAAATTAAAAGTTAATTAATTAATGTATATTCTTGACTAATTGTTGTTAAAAATTTTACCATTAATCAAAGCACGTTATCAAATGGTAGAAAAAACTCATTTAATCATATGAAAGTTCTTAAATTCAACCAAAGTATTTTCTCAATTACAATTAAAAACCTTTAGACTATATAGATAAAAAAAACCTTGATAGTTAGTTATGATGTAGAACCATTACTTTTTACGTAATTGAGAGATAGAAGACATAGATGAAGGATACCTCAAACTAATAATAGAAAAACAAAGACATTATTTCAACCTAACTTAAGAATCCATAATGAAATTACAGAAATAACCCTAAAAGCTTAACTCTCCATAGATGGAGTGAAACACATTATAAATGAAAATAAAAGAGTGGAAGATGTGGTGGATAATAACTGCACCAAACCATATACTTTCCTTGGTCTCTTTATATAGATCTTGATTGGGTTTAGATTCTGATTTTTCTATTGCTAAAATCTAATTTATGATATTGTAATATCTCCCCAAATAATTAACATATTTGATTAATTTTTAAAATATTTGAAAGATATTCTTGGTTGATATTTTTATATATAATTAAATTAATTATTTTGTAAAATATCTAATAAATTATCAACAACAGAATTTTTTCTCAAAAATTCAATTCATCCTTTCTTATTCTATCCAAAATTGTTGAGAGACCCAAAATATTTGTCTTTAACCGTTTTTTTCTTCTAAAAGTTGTTCTAAACGAGAAGATAAAGATAAAGAGGATGATGATGTGACGACCTATCACTAGACGAAGTGGTGTGTGGAGGACCAGAACACATGACAATATCTTGTTGGTCAGATTCATGAGTGGATGATTGTCACTTGGCAACATCTTAAATGATCTGACATGTAAGGGGTATGAGGCATGTGAATAGGGAAATTGAGGGATGTAGAGTAGAATTTATGAATGACCCATTTCAAAAAAAGGAGTGTATAAGTGAAACTAGGGATGCATTCAAATCCTTGTATATTTCTTTTTATAACTTCCTAATTTTGGACTTATTTTGTAACTTGAAATAATTTAATTTCATGCTTTGAATGAATAAACTTTAACTTTAGCTGCATCAGTAAACATTAGGATATCGAAGAATAATTTATGCAACTAAAAATCACTTTTTAAGACATTTTATTCACAAACTTAATAAGTCCAATTATCACAAATCCTATTTAAATCAATATTTTAAACATAAAAATTCCATAAAAAATTTGAAAATTAAGCCTACAAGGCGGGCATAAATATGCATTCATCAGTACATCAACCCCCCTAATCTTCAATTGTGAGGAACTTCAGTAAAATAGTTGTAGTTGGCTTTTGGTTTACGAAACATGGTACTGAGAACAGGTAGTTGGTAGTCATTTTGTACTATAAAGAAAATTTGTATCTTTAGCAATAACCGTACTAGTAGCCCCTTGCGTCAAGCAGCATAGCGACGAAGAAGTTTAAATAATGGGATGAAATGTTTGACTAGATGTGAATGGTGAATAATTGTCATGGAGTTGTCTTTCATTCAGTACTCATTTCTTTCCTTTTACCTTTTATAATTTGTAGTTTTCCACTAACGTATATGAAGTGGAGCATAACCTATTTTTCATACAATTCCCTCAATGATTGTTGTCAAAAATTCACTTTTACTCATTTAAAGCTTGATAAGGTAAGAAATATACAAATATGAGAGTTATTCAACCAAGACTAGTAAGCTATTTGTTAAGACAAGATCATCTATAAGATTAAACTGTCTAAATGTTATCACATGTTTTGAAGTTTAAGAAACAATATGAAACAAAATGAGCAAAGTGTTATATTTGAAAAAATAACACTTTGGTGTCACTAGTGCATAAACATATATTTTCACTAAATCTTTATGAATTATATTAGTAACAAGTTTGTATGCACTAAGTTGAAGGGAAGTGTTAGATATATTATCTCTATTTTATATTTATCTTTTATCTTTAGTTAGTTTGTTATTTATTTCTTAGTTGTATTTTGGACTTAATCTATATTTTTTTCGTTATAAATAGAAGGCCTCATGTGTATATTTAATTCAAAAGATATTAATTACATTCATAATTTTTACTATATTCAATGACATATTTATTTTAAAAAAAAATAATTTTTGAAAGCATGGTTTAATAATGGATACGTACGGAAAAATAGTTTCATAACTTTAACATGAAAAAACTTGTGTTTATATTTTCTTGATGAATCAAAGGTACACGAAATGATGTTTCATTTACTCTTCACAATATATGGAAAAATATGCTTTGAAATAATATTTTTTTTCTTTTTTCTTTATTAGGCGATAATCGACTTTTAATAATAAATACTAAATTAAATTATTTAATAAAAAATTAATAATAGCAGTTATAAAGTTGTACAAATGAGTAAATGTCCTCGCCCTTCTTTAGGTAACATGCGTTTCAGATTGTTCATTTTTTTTAATAATAAATATATTTTTCGTTTTTAAATTATTTATAAAAATTGTATTTTAGTCGTAAACTATATATATATATATATATGTATGTATGAAAATTATGTAAAAGATCCTAACAAATACATAGGAAGTGTTTCTTTTGTGATCCTTATCATATTTTAACCTTTTTCCTTTATGATGTTCCAATGAAGAGATCATCAACAAAATAATAAAAATAAAAAATTTTAATTTGAGGATATAATTGGAATTAAAAAAAATTGGGGAGGTGGAGGGAGAAAGGTGCGGTGGTGGAGGGAGCAACACCCTAAAACATATACATTGAAGAACTAACACAACAGCACATTTTACAAAGTTCTAGGCCTGCTAGATACACAATCCACAACCAAACTAATCTTTCTGTTACAAAGTTTTCTATTGAAAAAAATTAAAATACCTCCCACAAAAATATCCATTGGTCACTTGACGTTCATTTACTTGGACAATGGGCGAAAATTCCCTCCTAACATATTATTTATTCATGTATCAGGAGGAGAAATGAAAAGATTGGTAGCATGGAGGGGCACTATAAAAAATGCAACCAATTTATGCTGTGTATGATTTATCTAAACTGCATAACTTGTAGCCAAAACTCAGACATGGTAGACCATGCCAACTTCTAGGATAGAAGCATGAGGGATACTTAGAGCATAAGTTGGTCCTCTAGAATTTCTTCTTAAGAAATCATACCCATAATTGATCACAACTTTCTTTATCCAACTTGAACCTCTCTTTGCTTTCACATAAGAGTGGCCCATTATGAATGCCATTCCTCCTTCCCTTGCTTGCATTAGTTCCTGCAACTCCTCCCTTGCACCCAAATCAATCTCTGGACTGTCTGGCACAACAAACCTCACTCTCTTCCTAACTATTTCAGGAGACTTAACCACCCTCATTTCTATGCAATCTTTCATCTGAGAATTTTTGTTATCATCTTCACACATCCTTATACCTTCTGAATTTGATGCTGAGGTTCCTACAACTGCCATTTTTGTGTCATCTTCAAAACTCTCAAATCCTTGGTTGGACTCAGAACTATCTGACCGAATGAATTCTGCTATGCTACAAATAAGATCTTTCTCAAACTCAATGTCATCCTTGTGAAAGTCCCTATAACCATACCGAGCTATGCACCTATAAAGCCTGTATTCTTTTGGGCCAACTCTACCAACCAAGAACCTTTCTTCAGGTCTCACATGTGGCACTGGGACAGATTTGACGCAGAGGAAGATCACTACTTGATGAAAAGCTGGGAGATTGGTGACAAAGTGAGAGAAAATGGCTGGGATCCCAGACACAAGTTCAGTGTGTATTAGGCCAATTCCTCTTACACGCACAATTCCTAGAGTGGGGCCTAAACCAAGGAGCCAGTTGATGGACACCTTATTCTGAACATCAAACTCGTACTTTTTAAGTGTGCCAAAGTGCCACACATACATCACGATAAGAAATGTGAGCGAGAGGGCAATGGGCACCCATGCTCCTTCAAGGAACTTGATCAGGGATGCAGAGAAGTACAGTGCTTCGATGGACCCAAAGAAGAATATGAAGCAAATGGCTAGGAAAATACTCTTGTGCCAGCATAAAACAATAACTAGAGACATTAAGCAAGTGGTGACCAGCATCACAGTTATGACAGCCAAGCCTGTTCATCCAAACAGTATAAAAATTCATTAGACATGCTATAAGCCATTAAAAACCATGATCAAGATTTCTACAATCTTAATGTACTGATCTTTTTTTTTTTTCAAACATCAGAATAACACCATAAGATATAATCTAGAAACTATTGAAAAATGCAAATGGACCGAACTAATCCTTTATTGGGTCTTTGCATTAATCTGTTGTTTTCACGGCAAAGTACATCATACTGATTCTTTCCATCAAGAAGTAAGTAAAAGATTGAAAATTTAATTACCAAAAGGGGAAAGGGAGTAAAGAGAAAAGAAAATTAGTTTAGAGAAACAAAAATCAAAGTGACAGAGATGTTTCAAACATTCAG